TTTTTTTATGAGCCACAAATGTTACACTGGCAGAAAAAGGTGTTGGCAAATTTGCAAATGGAGTATTCACAAGTAGAATATTGAGGTTATATTTAGATGGACGCAATTCCAACAAAAAAATAATAATAATAATTGACATGGAAAGATGCAGTTTCTTTCTATTTAAACTTCTTTGTTATCAAATATAAAAGTCAAAACGTGACTTTTATTTTCTCCCAAGATTATGTTCGAAAATTATTTATGGAAATAGGCACCTATGTGTAAGGGGATTACTGGGAATGCAAAAAATTTATATATCCCCGACTAAGAGATCTGGCATGTACATATTATACATCATACATATGTAAACTGCTATTTTCACCGAAAAAATTAAAGTCAGATTTAACGTTTATAATTGACCGAGAAAACAAAAGTCAAATTTTAACTTTTATATTTCAACGAAAAAAGAAAGAAAAAAGTAAATTTTAACTTTGATATTTGACCGAAAGAAATAAAAGTCAAGTTTTAAATTTTATTTTTGACTGAAAAAATATCAGTCAAAAAATAACGGTTAATTGCTGACTTTTTTGAAAAAAGTAAAAAGAAAATTAAATTTATATGGGATTAACACTCCTGGGCTAACAAGCTTCACATTGTTGTGTACAAATGTTAAAAATACCAATTCTTTCCGGCTGGCTTTTTGAATTGAAATTTGAAAATAACTATTATTTTCGGTCCATGGTATGCAGAGTTAAACTTACGCAGATATTATAACAAAGATATCACCTAAATTATAGTCGGGAGACAGGCGGGGACCTCAATGCTATTTCATCATTTGAGGTCAGGTCCTATTTGGAGTTGGAGTTCACAAAGAGGCCACACGCGCTATTTTGGATACCAGATTTGGTTAACTATAACCAAATATTGTGTTGGGAGAAATATATTTTGCTGGCTATTTTCTTATCTCGATTTCATCCCGATAGACTTTTGCTTGCTTTTCCTAAAGTCGCAGTTTTATGACAATAAGCCGCAACCGATCGGTGCTCTTAAAGGCAACGGATCCGTGGCTTCATGAAAACTCATGGGGGACATTATTATGTCATAATGGCATGATGGCATAATGGGATTTTTGGGATGGGGTTTTTAACCGACATCAAAAAAGGAGGGGGTTATCAATTTGTCGGAATATATAGTTTAGATCCGATCATTGCGTCACGAAAAAATTCAAAAATCAAAAAAGAAGCACACAAACGATTCTTGGATGCGCGTTGCGCGCGTTATTATATTGAAGTTATAACGTAACGGCCGCCATGGTCGAGTGGTTAGAGGTGCACTCTCGGTACGTCCAGGGTATGATCCCTGATTCGAGCAATATAATATCGCCAGGCAACGGCAAACCTGCGAGTGTATTTCTGCCATAAAAAAGCTTCTCATGAAAACTATTTGACTATTTGATCTAAACGTAAAAAGATACTTTTGTGACATAGCTTAATATCCAAGGTATCACAATCGGTGGCATTTGGAAAAGTAGCAGATGCCCGACAGTTATAAAAGACCCGAGAACCTTTTGACCTTTATAAAGTTTCCACAGCCATAAACGAATCAACGACTCATCGGATTTGTCAAGTATCGGTATTTTCTGTAGAGTATTTCTGGAAAAAAATTTCAAAATAGGGTTGCCAAATATCTGAAAATATAAAACTGTTCATAAGCCCAACAGCATGCTTCAATTACTGTACTAATACAAAAACATGTTTGAAGAGATAAAAAATATTTTTAAATCGGGTTGCCACCTTTCTAAAAAGTTACGGTTACGTTAATAAAATACTGTATTTTCTAAATCGTGACATAGCTTAATATCCAAGGTATCACAATCCGTGGTATTTGCAAAAGTAGCAGATGTTGCAGTTTCAACAGCTTTAAGCTAATTAAGAACTCTACGGATTTGTTCAATTTTATCCCATTATAGTCGGTATTTTCTATAGAATATTTTTGCAAAAACTGTCTAAATAGGGTTGCCAGATATCTAAAATTTTAAAATTATTTATAAGCTCAACAGCATACTCCTATTTCTATAATATAATAAAAACCGCTTGAAGATATTAAACAAAATATGTTCGAGAGGGGTTGCCACCTTTCTAAACAGTTACAATTACGTTTATTAAATACTGGATTTATATTTATATCGCAATATGGGCGTCAAAAGGAAAGTGTTTGAACAGGCTCTAACATAACATGATTTTGACTAGTATTGCCACATATCTATGTAAAATTCCTAGCTATCAATCTATGCCAAAAAAAATAGTTTTATTATTTTATTATTATTTTTTCACTTTTAAATAGCCAAGCAACAATTTTGGTCACTTTTTCGCCATTTCTGTGCTTAGCTCCCCCTCCTCTTTGTGTGACAATATAAAGGCGCACACCACAAATCGGAGGAGCAGCTGGGCCAAGCACTAGCAAATATGCAAGCGGCAAATATTTATTCTTTTCATTGCCTTACTTGCCTTAGATTTTTTCTCTGTGTAATTCCTTTACGCATAGTTGGGATTTATTTCGTAGATATTTCTTCATTTTTTGAAATTATAAAAAAAGATTAATATCCGAACGCATACATAATTAATGAACAACAGACAGCGGATAAGTTGCCATACGAATGTACGGACTTTTAAGAGTAAAAGTGAAAATCGGCCAGAAGGGGCAAATTTAGGACAGAAATCTAAGGTACGCACGGCACACTAATGTATGTGTGTATGTATGACAGACGCCTTTGATCACAAGGCGTAACTGAGATGGCGAAGAGCCAAAAAGGCAAAATAATTGAGCAACGACAGGGGTAGAGTCGCTTACATAACTGGCGGGCTCAATGAACGCCTGAAGGAATGGCTGAATGAATGAGTAACTGTTGGCAGTTGCCTGGCGATGCATGGCCGCCTCACTGCATAGAAAACTGGTTGAGTGAGTGAAATTCGATACGATTTATGAATTTTTTGTTAGCAAATCCTTACGAAATTATGTATGAAAATATGTACGCGGTATCACAATTTTTCTCTAAATTGTCTACCCTTTTATCCCCTGCCACACAAATTTTCGTCCAATCCAACTTGATTTCATTTAAATATTCTGTAGCAAAACAAGAAATACATATGTAGCAACCTTCATTACAATTTAGCCAAACAAAAGGAAGCATAATTTTATTTATACACTACATCTTAGCAACAGCAGCAACAAATTCGTCAAGCGTTAAGTTTTTCTCACCTGAACGCGCGCTTCCGTCAGATTTATTTTCATCGCCAGATCCTCGCGTGTGAACACATCCGGATAATGGGTTTGAGCAAAGGCAGTCTCCAGCTCTTCCAACTGCAAGGCGAACGGAAAGGAATGAAGGATGATTAAAAGGAAGAAAATTACATCAAAAGCGAATAGTAGCAAAATTAGAAAAGAAGTAAAACAAAGTAAAATGGAAAAACAAAGAATTTCAAATCCCAAATAGTTAAATACTTAGCAAGTCACACACCCCATCCACTCACTTACCTGTTGCAACGTGAACGTGGTGCGATTACGCCGCTGCTTCCGCCGCACAAAAGTCTCATCATGTATGGAAGGATGGTAGGAGTAGCTTGCATCTGAAGGCGCGATTAGTCGACAAAGCACGGCAACAAACGCGGAGAACATAGAAAGGGAAGAAAGCAAGAAAAAAAGTTGAAATTAAGAATATGCTCGAAAAGCATTAGATAAATTACTACCCAACTACATATGTGTGTAAATATGTATAAATATTGCTGCAAATATTTTATGTATAAGTGTACTTTTATCTACATATATATAGAAATACATATTTCTGCTGTGAGTGAATTAGCTGGCATAATTGAAGCGCTGCAGCAACACTTCGCCTGCAGCGTTCTTAAGCTGTGATAAGCACGTAAGCGCAGTGGACTCGTAGGGAATTAGTGCCGAATTAATAAAATAGAAAAGTTAAAAGCCATTTTGAAGAAAATTATTCAGAAGTTTGTGTTGCTCACTTTTCAGAAATCATACATATTCACATATGCAGGGGTTCCTAGACTATCCGTCCAATCCTTCTAAAATGGAGGAAAATGTTTTTATTGGAAGAAGCAAGAATATAAACTACCAAGTCCGGGATGCATTGTCTTTTGTGGTTGTTTTACCGATTTACGATTTCGATCGTTTCGACCGGAAGTTAATTGTTTAAATGGGACATATACATATGTTTTTACCAAAGATTCGGTTTCGGTGGAAAAAAGGCATACATTTTGTCGGAAATATTTTTCTAGAAGGGACTTCCGGTCAAAATAAGGGATTTCCCGTATGTTTAACTCACTTTCGGTCGAGACTCGAAGTCGGTAATACCATGAAAAGGTACACAGAGAAAATGATTCAGGTAAAACCCATGTATTCAAAACAAATTGTAAAACAAACATTTTTTAAACAATTTTACTTCATACAAAATAAAAAATACACTACTTGTATAACAGACTTTTAAACGTAATCTTCGCAAAATAAGAACAAAAATTATATCATATTTGGTCTTTCGACTGAGGAAAATATTTGGAATGAAAAAATTACGCCAAAAATGCGCCTTTTTAAAACTAAAATGAAACATTTAGAATATTGTTCCTACAAATTGTAGTGCGACAAAATTTCCAACCAGAAAAGTAAAACGAAACACTTATAAAATAAAAATGAAAATTTCGTTTCAGTCAATTAAACATGAGAATGGTTTAAAACGAAAACGTTTAGTATTAGAATTTTCAAAGCTACTTATAAAACTGAAATACTTTTCATCTGTTTGCATTATTTGTCGGAAAAATTAAACATGAGAATGGTTTAAAACGAAAACGTTTAGTATTAGAATTTTCAAAGCTACTTATAAAACTGAAATACTTTTCATCTGTTTGCATTATTTGTCGGAAAAATTTTGCGCAGATGATTCAAGCCACATTTATACATACATAGCAAAAGATGCGGAAATATGATATCGTTACGCCACTTAATGAAAGGAACGTTGCTGATACGGTACCCTTTTTTGATTAGAGAAAAGCTTTGGTAAGACTTGCTTACAAAAACAAATTCTAATCAGTTGTTTAATAATAATTGTAAATTTGTCCATGTATATTACAGGATCTAACCAGCGTTAATCAAAATTATCAAGACCCGTGGAGGAAAAGCCAGAATATGTACATATCTTTCAGTTATTAAACTTTTTAACTAATTAATACATATGTAAGTATGTCTACATATGTACATATGTTATAAAGGCGTAAGGATGCGAGTTATCATGTATTTTAACAATGATTATTTATTAAATTATTGTATAGATATTAAATGCAAATTCACATTAATTATAAATAGAACTGAACAGGTCGACCGTCGTGCGCTTGAACGTCCGAACTCTTTCGCTGTTAACACGCAACTTCCCTGTCTTTGACAGCTCGGCCTTTCCTGACATTTCGTCCGCTAGGAAGTTTCCTCATCTGAAACGACTCTTGAATTATCTTCGTCATATTCGAGATCTGGACTCAAAAGGCACCATGGCTTCATATGGTCGATGGAGATTATGTTGCAATAATGACGTTGCGTACGGGGTGCATCTGGTAAGTCTTCCACAACATATCGGTCATGGGCTAACTGTTTAGTGACGAGATAAGGTCCCCTGTATTTCGGGTCGAGCTTGTGAGTGTCACCCGATGCGCTTGGGATGTAATCAATAACTACAAGTTGACCTTCATTGTATAGTGTTGGGCGCTGATGAGCTCGATCATACCTCAGCTTCCTTTTTTGTCTCTCGGTGTCGATATTCTCTAAGGCTTTTCGTTGATTTTCCTGGTTGTCTATGTCTTCTGGCGTTGTTATTTCGTCGTTTATTGCTTCGACTAATTGATTCTCGCAAACGCATCGTAAATCGAAATTAAACACAAGTTCGTTGGGGCTGATCTTCGTGGTGCTGTTGTTTTGCGAATTCATGCACCACTGAATGTTAGAAAGATTTGTGTCCCATTCCTTGGCGTCGTTCGTTGAGCACCGGATAGCTGACAATATAGTACGGTTGACGCGTTCGGCTTGGCCGTTTGCTCGCGGTGTTCGCACCGCCGTTTTCACGTGCTGAATCCCGAAACGAGACATAAAGGTTTCGAATTCCTTTGACGTGAAGGCAGTCACGCGGTCAGTAGTTATTCGTAAAGGCTGACCGAAAATTGACATAACTTCTTGTAGCATCAGTAGCACTGGAGTCGTTTTGGTGTTACGTACCGCTTTCAATATGGTATACTTGGTGAAACCACAAACCAAAACGATTATATGCTGATTTCCTCGCTTGCTCTTCGTAAATGGTCCGAGATGATCCATGTACATTGCTCGAAATGGAATCGGTAGAACTTCGGTGAGATGCATCTGGCTTTCCAACTTACCCCCTTTTATCTTATTCAAGCAGCACTCGGGGCAAGCTGCAATATACGACTTCACATATCGTCTCATTTGCCTGAACCAAAAGTACTTTTGTAGTCGTTGTAGCGTTTTTTCGAGGCCAAAGTGACCTGCGTCATCATGACAAGACTTGGTCACGCGCCATCTAACTGCTTGAGGGATAACAAGTCGTCGCTCACCTTGAACCATTCGATATAATCGGCTGTTGTGAATGATGAAATCACCTTTGAACTGAGTCGCTCTTCCATCGTTGGTCTTTAGCGCTGACGTAATCGTTTTCAAATGTTCGTCCTGCATCTGCATTGAGTAAATCCAGTCGTCGCTGTTGTTATTAGATATAGCCAGAATTCGGTCAGCTGCGGTTTCCGGTTCGGTTGGTGGTAGACTCGGGGAACGGCTTAAACAATCGGCATGCTGCATCTTCGAGCCTTGACGGTGCTTACATTCAAATTCGTATTCTTGTAAGCGTAACCACCATCTAGCTATTCTCGGTGGTAATTTTGATGTTGCTTTCGCCGTAACAATCGCGTTACAGTCCGTAACGACAGTGAATCTCGTGCCTAACAAATACATCCGAAATCTGTCAAGCGTTTCCACTATAGCTAGCACCTCCAGTTCGTGACTAGCATATCGTGACTCTGCATCATTACATTGACGGGTATAGAACGAAACTGGATTTAGTCCGTCTGCTTCTTCCTGCAGCAATATACCTGACAACCCTATGTGGCTGGCATCCGTATGGACTTCGTGTGCTTTAGTTGGATCATACAGGACTAGTACTGGCTTAGACGTAATTGCTTTCTTCAACTGTTCGAACGCGCATTCTTGTTCTTCTGACCAAATAAACGTTGCATTCTTCTTCAAAAGCTTGGTGAGTGGTGCGGCAAACGTACTATGCTTTTCCACAAACTTTCTAAAGAAGCCGGTCAATCCCAGAAATTGACGTACCTCAGCCACATTCGATGGTTTGGGAAATTCGCGAATGCATTTAGTCTTTTCATCCCCCGGACTTATGCCACTGTCACATACGTTGTGTCCTAGAAATTTTACATTTCCCCAGAGAAAATTGCATTTAGACGGTCTAAGCGTGAGACCACATTGACGAATCGCCTCTAAGACTTCTTGTAGAACAATCTTGCCATCACTCACAGTTGGCGTTGCTATGATCATTTCATCTACATAGCTGATGACTTGCTCTCGATGGCATAATCTTGATGTTACCTTTGTTATCATTTCCTTGAAAAACATTGGTGCATTGACCAGACCAAACGGCATGACATTGTATTCGAACAGTCCATCGTGCGTGAGGAATGCAGTATATTCCTTGCTACTTTCTTTCATTGGAATCTGGTAGTAGCCCGATGTCATGTCGAGTGTTGTGAAAAACTTGCCACCAGCCAGTTTAAATAGTTGCTCTTCTACAACTGGCATTGGGAAACTCTTCCGTACAGTAACCGCGTTCAATGCCCTGTAGTCGATGCACATTCGATTTTCACCATTAGCTTTGCGTACCAAAAGTGCCGATGCCGCGTGAGGTGATGTACTAGGACGTATTATTTCATTTGCCAATAAATTGTTTAGAATTCCCGTTAGCTCTCTTTGTTGTGATAGTGGAACCTGATAGCGTTTTCCGACTATTGGCCCCGGTATTGTAACTTTAATTTCCATCGTGGTAGTATTACATCTACCCAGCGTTGACACATCTTCAGCAAAACAATTTTGGTATTCGTGTAAAAGCGTTTGTATATCAGTTCGTTGGGCATCGTTGAGCTGGTCGTTGATTTTAAACGTGTCCGACTTAACTTGTAATTGTAGCGATCCATTGTCGATGACCAAACGTTTATTTTGGCCACACAGTACATCTCGCCCTAACAATAAGTCATAGCCAAGTGCGTGGTCTGGAACCACATATAAGTTTGCGTTGACATATTCGTTGTTTATCTGCAACTTCACTTCGGCCCTTCGCGTTGACTCGACAATCGATCCGCCAAACCCTTTAAAACGTTTGTATGCCGGAGCGCATTGAATCGTAGTTGGTATTACAGTTTCGCTTATTAATGAATGGTCGCTGCCCGTGTCGACCAAGGCGTCGTACAATTTACCCTCAATAGTAACGTGTTGAATTATAGGTGGAACTTGTGAAGTTGATTTAGACTCCCCGATTTCTGCTACATTTGGTTTCATATTCACGCGACAATCCTTTGCGTCGTGGCCCACTTTCGTGCATTTAC